CGCAGGGCTTCACCGAGCTCTCACTGGCTCGCTGTCCTTCTTGCTGTTTTGCCAGTGAGGTGGCGTCTTCAGTTCAAAGAGGAAAAGCAGAGACATTCCGGAACAGTCGTGTGGACGACTGAGGATCATCTAGCTCAGTTCCCCAAAAACAATTGGCTTATTATACCGATTAAAGTAAAAAAAAAAGTTTGTGATTTTAACAAGTCACCGAACAGTTTCTTTTTCAGATACTAAGGAATCAAACTAAGGGTCTTGGACATGCTGGCAAATAAATGCTCTACTGCGAAGCTATACCGCAGCCTGAGCAGTGTGTTCTAAATCATCATCTAGAAAGCAGTGACATCCAGTGCCTCTCCTTGCAGACACCTACATAGTAGGGTCTTTCTTGGGTTACTATCTGGCCACATCATATGTGGGGGTTCTGGTCTCCTTTGGTTTGATCTGGAGAATATCAGAGGCGCTCAACCAGTGCTGAGGCACAGAGGTTGAGCACAGCCCTTTCTGCGGGAGCACTGGGGAGCCCTTACCCCGGGCTTCACGTGGTTCCCAGGGAAGAAGCCCCAGGGAGATGTTGGCCTCTCTTCTGGATGGGTCTTACCGTTGTACCCAAGCCCTAGAAAAGCGAGTCTATATAGAGCAAAATGTTATTTTATCATTGCTAAGTGACATTTGTTATTTCCAATGTAAAAAGAGAGTATCAGAAAATCTTATATAACCAATGACATTTCCATATTAAGGAAGGAAATCCTTCTGATTTTTTTCTAGGTTATGAAAGAAGGTATTTTGTAAAAGTTAACGACTATTTTTTTTTAAGTCTTAGCAAACTGGGCCTATAGGAAGAGTTCCCTAACACAGTAAGCAATCAGCCCCAGCCCTTCACCTACTAGTGAGCAACCAGGTCTGTCTCCTTGAATCAGAGGGCCCAGATGCTCACAGAGAAGCAACTGTGAGGAGTAACAAATGGGCAGAATCTGTTTATTTTTCTTGCATACCAAGAGGTCAGGAAGTTGTCTGTGACTGAAAGAACAGCTTAAAAATTTCATCAGAGAGGCTGGGAAGATAGCTCAGTGGCATAAGTGCCTGCCTGGCAAGCACAAGGTCCTGAGTTCAATCCCCAGTACCAAAAGTTAAATAGATGATGATAGATAGATAGATAGATAGATAGATAGATAGATAGATGATAGATAGATAGATAGATAGATAGATGATTCCAGCTTTAGTGCCTGGTTGGCAGGCACATGGTCCTGAGTTTGATTCCCGGTACTGCAAAAAATAAAAGTTTCATCAGGTGCCCAGGAGCCCTGTACTCTTCCATTCTATCATCTTTAGTGGGTAGCTTTTGTCCTTAGCTGCCACATGGTTGCAAGGTGGCCAGTACACCTCCCAGGAAGGAGCAGGAAGAAGGAAGAGTTCTATCAAGAACTCCTGAAGCAAGGCCCTTCCTTAAAATCTCTAGTAGACCTCACTGGTGCCTCCTTGGTCAGAACTGGGTACAGGGTCACCTGCATGCAATGGAGTCTTAGAAAAGAAAATGTTTTGATGTAGACTTGTTTTTTCACCTCAAACATGATCCACCACAACGGACTGCTTCCAACACCACCAACTGTTGCTCTGGTGGTGTTAGCCAATGCTAATTTTTTTTTTATTTTTTTATTGAGACAGAGCTTTGCTAATGGAGTTGAGGCTGAACTGACTCTGTGGCCCAGGCTGGCCTTGAACTCTTGCCTCAGTCTC